CCATTTAATATGATGTTGGCTGTGGGTTTGTCATACATGACTTTTATTATTTTGAAATATGTCCCTTCTATGCCTGGTTTTTTGGATTGGATCTATGCCTAGTTTATGATAGGATTTGCATCATAGAAGGGTGCTGGATTTTATCAAATGCTTTTTCTGCACCTATTGAGATAATCATATGGTTTTTGTTTTTAATGCTGTTTATGTGATGTATTACATTTATTGATTTCTGTATTATTATATTACATTTATTGAAACCGTCCCGGCATCCCTGGGATTAAATCAACTTGTTTGTGTGTATTATCTTTTTGATGTACTGTTGAACTTGGTTTGCTATTATTTTGTTGAGGATTTTGGCATCTATGTTTATCAGGGTTATTGGTCTGTAGTTTTCTTTTCTTGTTATGTTCTTTCCTGGTTTTGGTATTAGGGTGATACTGTCTTCATAGAATGAGTTTGGAAGGAGGATTCCCTCTCTTAATCTTATGGAATAGTTTAGTGGGATTGGTACCAATTCTTTAAATGCCCAGTAGCATTCACTGTGAATCCCTGGACTTTCTTTGTTGGCAATTTTTGAATTACCAATTCAGTCTCACTGCTTGTTATTGGTCTGTTCAGGATTTCTGTTTCTTTCTGATTTAATTAATGAGTGTTGTGTGTTTCCAGAAATTTATGCATTTCCTTTGGATTTTCTAATTTGTGTGCATAGAAGTGTTCATAGTAGTCTCGAATGATCTTTTGTATTTCTGTGGTGTGGGTTGTAATGTCTCCATTTTCATTTCTGATGGAGCTTGGTTGAATCTCTTTTCTTGGTTAATCTAGCTGATAGTCTATCAATTTTGTTTATCTTTCCAAAGATCCAACTTTTGTTTTATTGATCTTTTGTATATTTTTGGTTTCAATGTCATTTAGCGCTACCCTGATCTTTATTATTTCTTTTTGTCTGCTAAAGGAGGCTAAAGATAAGGCCTCAATCCCTTCTGGCTTATAAGGTTTCTGCTGAGAACATATATCTTTATAGTACTGTGTTTGCTATTTCATCATCATATGCTGTTTCTTAAAGTTAATTTTCATAATGTGCACTTCTTTTATGTTTTTGTTTTTCTTCATCTTTCTGTGCTACTGGGACTAGGACCTCCAAAATAATCTTAGCTAAAAATATTGATAATGGGCATCTTTGTTTTATTCCTGTTCTCAGAAGAATAAGCATTTCATCAAGTATGAAACCAATTCTTTGCTGTGGGTTTTTCGTAAGTACCATTCACTAGGCTAAAGAAGTTGCCTTTTAATTCTTGTTTTATAAATGATTACATTTATATTTGTTTATTTGTTTTATTATGAAACTTTTAAACAATTTTATTCATCTATTAAGATAAGTCATGTGCGTTTTCTCTTTTAATTAATGTGGTGCATTAGTTGATTTTTTATATTAAATGCAACCTGAATTTTTAGAATAAATTCATTTTAGTCGTGATATCTTATCCTTTTTACATATTGGTGGGTTCATTTTTCTAATACTTTGTAAAGGATTTATACATCTCTATCTGTGAGATTAACTTGTAATTTTCTTTGTTTACATTAGTATTGTCAGGATTTGATGTCACATTATCTTCATAATTTGAAAAGTATTTTTTCTGTGTCTAAATCTTTGAATAGTTTCTTTTTTTTATTGAACTTTAAGTTCTGGGATACATATGTAGAACATGCAGGTTTGTTACATAGGTATACATGTGCCATGGTGGTTTGCGGCACCCATCAATCCATCATCCACATTAGATATTTCTCCTAATGCTATCACTACCCTAGCCTCCCACTCCCCAACAGACCCCAGTATGTGATGTTCCCCTCCCTGTGTCCATGTGTTCTCATTGTTCAACTCCCACCTGAGTGAGAAAGTGGTGTTTGGTTTTCTGTTCCTGTGTTAGTTTGCTGAGAATGATGGCTTCCAGTTTCATTCATATCCCTGAAAAAGACATGGACTCATCCTTTTTTATGGCTGCATAGTATTCTATGGTGTGTATATGCCACATTTTCTTTATCCAGTCTATCATTGATGGGCATTTGGGTTGGTTCCAAGTCTTTGCTATTGTGAACAGTGCCGCAGTAAACATATGTGTGCATGTGTCTTTATAGTAGAATGATTTATAATCCTTTAGGTATATACCTAGTAATGGAATTGCTGGGTTAAATGGTATTTCTGGTTCTAGATCCTTGAGGAATCACCACACTATCTTCCACAATGGTTGAACTAATTTATACTCCCACCAACAGTGTAAAAGCATTCCTATTTCTCCACATACTCTCCAGCATCTGTTGTTTCCTGACTTTTTAATGATTGCCATTCTAACTAGTGTGAGATGGTACCTTATTGTGGTTTGATTTGCATTTCTCTAATGACCAGTGATGATAAGCTTTCTTTCATATGTTTGTTGGCTGCATAAATGTCTTTTTTTTAAGAAGTGTCTGTTCATATCCTTCACCTACTTTTGATGGAGTTGTTTTTTCTTGTAAATTTGTTTTCTTTGTTTTTGTTTTGATTCTTTAAGTCATTTTATTTGATTTTACTTTATTTATTAGTATACTTTAAGTTCTGGGATAGATGTGCAGAACGTGCAGGTTCATTACGTAGGTATACATGTGCCATAGTGATTTGCTTCATCCATTCACCCTGTCATATACATTAGGTATTTCTCCTAATGCTATCCCTCCCCTAACCCCTACCCTCTGTCTTCCTTCCCTTAGCCCCCCTTCCCACCGACAGGCCTGGTGTGTGATCTTCCCCTTCTTGTGTCCATGTGTTCTCATTGTTCAACACCCGCTTATGAGTGAGAACATGCAGTGTTTGATTTTCTGTTCTTGTGTCAGTTCGCTGAGAATGTTGTTTTCCAGCTTCATCCATGTCACTGCAAAGGACATGAATGCATCCTTTTTTATGGCTGCATAGTATCCCATGGTGTATATGTGTCACATTTTCTTTATCCAATCTGTCATTGATGGGCATTTGGGTGGTTTCCAAGTCTTTGCTATTGTGAGCAGTGCCACAATAAACGTATGTGTGCATGTGTCTTTATAATAGAATGATTTAATCCAGGTGTCTAGCTGCTATAGTACCAGAAATTGCAGTCACTTTATTTTCTTTTAGTTGAATTAAATCAGATCTCTCTCTCACTCTCTCTCTGTCTCCCTCTCTCTCCCTCTCTCCAAAGAAGAGTAATTCTCTTTCTTTCCCATCATCATTATCATCTTTCTCTCTCTCTGTTTTCAGAAGAAATCCTTTCTCTCAGTTACTAAAATCTCTCTCTTCAGGCATTTGGTATATTTTCTTCAAGGGGTTTAGGCTTTTGCAAAAGCAATCTCTACAAAAACATTAAGGTTACAAAAATCACAGAAGTGAGGAAATACTACTTAAGGTCAAGCTAATTGCTTAGAATGGGAGGGCGGGGAAAGATGGGTCAAATTAGCCTGCCATCCAAGAGGTGCAGTGTTATAGCTCTAATAGTGATATTTTAAATAAATTATAGTAGACTTCCAGAGAAGGATAACATTTGAACCAGACTGAAGGCACCTATGTCTCTAGCAGTTAGGCATGAAATACAAATTAATAAAATAAGTTGGCAGAAGATGAAGTGATGAGAATTGTGGAATAAGTTGAGAATGTATATCCCATGGAAAGATAATGAAATTCAAATTAAAAAATAACTACTATGAAACTCTTTAGGCCAGTGAAAAATCACTAAATTTCATATTGTATTCATTCTGTGGGCTACAGTTTATAATTTTTGAAGCCATCTCCAGTAAGAGTAGAGAAGAAATCTTTTCCTTCTGTCTTTCTGGGTTTTTGGCTGAGGCTCTGTAACAAAAGACAGATTTACAAGATAAAAGCATACAAGTTTATTTAGTATAAGATTTATGTGACATGAGAACCCTCATAAGAAAATGAAATCCTGAAGAAGTGGTTAAATCTGGATGATTTTATGTTAGAGTGGATGAAGAGTAGAAAATGGCAAAATCTAACAGAGGACAAAAGGATATGAGCTAAGAGTAGCTAAGGGTAGTATGACCTGTTTTGATTCCTTTCAGCATCCCTCCATCTTCAGAGATAAGGATGCTCATTTTCTTATAAGAAGAGCACCTCTCACATGAGGATATTATGACCTGCTTCAGGGGAGACAAGCAAGATCACAGAGTTCTTGCACCTGATATTTCTCAGATTCCTTCAGCTTAAAATATCCAATTCTGTCATAGTGTTATATTTTGGAGTAGCATGTCCTGAACCCTGTTATTTCAAAGAACAAGAAATATTTATGTGTGATGTTATGGATAATTTAGAAGAAATTGACATTTGACTGTTAGGTTTCCTGAGGGTTTTTAGCTGCTTGGAAAGGGGATTCTTAGTTTTATATATTTACTTTTGTGCATAGTTTTTTGTTTGTTGTTTCAATGTCAATTAGGAAGTAATGATAGAAAGAAAAAATTGAATTTTTCCTCTTTGTCACCAGATTTTTTTTTTCAAAGGAAAATATTTCTTTTCTTTCTTTTTTGGGTTTCTTTCTTTGCTGTCTTTGTTGGATAAAACATCTCTTCAGGGAATGGTCCTATATATTCTCTTATACTCTTTACAAGTATTTATATGCTTTAATGAAAATTACTGTGTATATATATTTGTACTATATAACTTGTTTATTATTTTTAAAACTCTGGGTCAGTTGTGAAATACATTTAATAGGTCCTGAATAGTATTTTTAAAAAGAAATGGAATAACTTGAAATTTTTTTAGAAGTTATTTGAGTGTATCACCCACGATAAGGTGAGTATTGCTTTACAAAACTTATATTTCTGTTTGTGTGTGTGCTCATAATATAGAAGTATTTCTTACTATGCATTTTGATCACTAGAGTTTGAAAGCTGAATGAAATAATATTAAAATAATACCAGATCTCTGCCTTAATGAATTTAAAATCTACTTTATTTAAATCCTACTTTATTTCTTAACTTTGCAGAAAGAAATGTGATCTTAAAAGATGTAATTGATGTTTTCACTAATTCACCTAACCCATCAACACCATTCCACAGTAAGTATAGTAAAAGAATAAAAATTAGAAACCAGTTTCTTAGGTCATTTTATGGGATCTTATCTTTTCTAAAATATAATTTGTTTCTCTGTGTATTTGCAACACTTTCCTAAGTTTTCTTTGCTTTATTTGAAATGTAATCTGCTTTCTTATTCCTTATCATATTCAATTTATGCTTTGAGTATAATGAATTATTTAGAACTATATACCTAGAATATCCTCCTTTAAAATCAATAATTTGTCTCAGTATTACGCTTCATTGTAAAAGCATAAAGCCTTCCCATTACTCTAGTACAATTTTCTCTCACCTTTATAAATAGCCACATGCTTATTTTCCTCACCTGTAGTGAAATGTGTTAAAGAAAGTAAAAGAAAGATCTAGTGTTCTTAAAATTAGTTGGTAGATAAGAGAGAAACACTTTCTGGTATTTGGATAGTGTATGACTGTTTTTCAGTCTGTAGCAAATTTATATTTTTTAGTGTTTTCCTTTCCCCAACAATTTGGCTTCTATTTCACCTTCTTGCCTTCGTTCTAAGAGCTACCACATACCTGTTCTTGAAAAGCTTTGCAGTCTGTGAAAGACCAGAGCCTGTAGCAGAAACACCTTTCAGGGATAGTAGTTACTGAAAAAGTGAGCTTTACAAAATATTTACAGAAACTCAACTTTTACTTGACTAGTGGTATGCTAAACATTTTTTATTATTTAACTGACTTCTAAAAACAAAGCCCATAATTATGTTTTAAAAGCTCTTTAACTTAGAATTTCTTCTATAGTAGGCTGTGGTTTTTATATCTTAAAAGAGGCTTTGCCCCAACTTCATTATCTGTTCTCTATTCTTCCCGTATTTTCAGATTTACTTAAAGAGATCACAACTCTTGATAGTATCAGAAATGATACAATGCCTGTAAATGAGCTGAGCTCCAAACTCTTGAGTGCTGGCATTCCAATAAGCAACAAGACATTCCAAGAGATCTTGAGACAAGCATCTGTTGATGGTGAATACTTTTTGAAAGAGCAATCTATTCTGAGCTTAACGAAGTCCTAGTTTTGCTGTGTGCTTGGGATAGGTGTCGTATATATGTATATTTTATTTTTTGATCAGTAAAAGTGTTTATTTTTTACTTTTATTTATTTTGAGACAGAGTCTCACTCTGTCTTCCAGACTGGAGTGCAGTGGTGTGATAACGGCTCACTGCAGCCTCAGCTTCCTGGGCTCAAGCCATCAAACTCCTGAACTCAAGCTATCTACCCGCTTTAGCCTCCCAAAGTGATGGGATTACAGGTGTGAGCCACCACGCTCAGCCCAAAAGTATTTAGTTTTTAATTGGCAAATTAAAAAATATTTATTTATGGTGTACAATGTGATGTTTTGAAATACGTAAACATTGTGGATGATTAAATCAAGCTAATTAACATATCCATTACCTTAAATCATTATAATTTTTTGATAGCATATAAAATGTAGTCTTTTATCTGTTTTTATAGTTCATACAGTACATTATGAACTATAGTCACCTTGCACTAAAATAAATCTCCAGAACTTATTCCTCTTGTCTAACTGAAACTTTGTTTCTTTTAACCAATATCTCCCCTCAAATTCCCGACTCCCCTCAAATTCCCTAGTCTTTGTTTCTATTACTCCAACTTTTTTAGATTCCACATATGAGTGAGATCATGCAGTATTTGTCTTTCTGTGCCTGGTTTGTTTCAAAAAACATAATGTCCTCCAGGTTCATCCATGTTGTTGCAAATGACAGGATTTTCTTCTTTTTTAAAAGGTTGAATAGTATTCTATTGTGCATATATATTTATAACATAGAGATGGACATCACATTTTCAAAAATCTATTCATCTGTTGATGAATGGGCACTGAGGTTGATTCTTTGTCTTGGCTATTGTGAGGAGTGCTGCAATGAACAAGGGAGTGCAGATATCTCTTTGACATGCTGATTTCATTTCCTTTGGATATATACTTGGAAGTGAAATTTATGGATCACATGGGAGTTCTGTTTTTAATTTTTAAGGAATTTCTATACTGTTTTTCATAATGGTAGTACTAATTTACATTCCCACCATAACTGTACAAGAGTTCCCTTTTCACCACTTCCTCGCCTACACTTGTTCTTTTGTCTTTTTGATAAAAGCTATTCTTACACATGAGTGGGTAAACTGGGTCTTAGAAATATAATGAGAACATTGGCACATTGAGAGCTAATTGAAATTCATAGATTTTTCTACTAGAAATATTTTTAAGAGTTATCCTCTATTTAGCATCAAATCTATGCACCAAAATTTAATTATTTAAGCCAAGCAAATTCCTTTAGTTAGAATTTCTTTCTTGTTTTGAGAAAACAGATTGTGGGTAAAACTATTTTAAATTAATTGATTTTTATCCTGCTAATTTCCAGAAATTACAAAATTTTCCATCCTTACACTTTGTCATGGTTATTTAATGATTATCAGCATTGATACCTTGCCATTTCATAATCCTTGTACTTTACTTTTTAGAAAATAGTAATGTAAGTCTCAAGAAAATTTTGGAGAATGTGAACATAAATAAGCCAGCTTCTGTAGTTGAAGGTGGGTCAATCAATATTTTATTTTAGATATTTAGATAGTTTTCATTGCCTCTTGTTATTATTTTTTAAATGGCATTATGAGGCATAATTGATATAAAACTGTATATTTTTATATTTAAAAGGACATTTAATTAAGCGTAGATATATGCACGCACCTATGCAACGATCATTACAGTCAAGATAATAAGCATATCCCTTACCCCTAAAACTTTCTCATACCCTTTATAATCTTTCTTGCCTTTCTCCACATTTACCACATTCCCAGGCAACCACTGGTAAGCTTTGCTTCACTAGAAATTTGTTTTTGCATTTCTAATAATTTTATGTAAATGGATGTGCTCTTTTTTTTTTTTTGCTGGCTTTCTTCACTCAGCATAATTATTTTGAAATGTATCCATGTTATAGTGTGCATAAGTAGTTCATTCTTTGTATTGCTGAATAGTAATTCACTTTATAGATATACTACAGTTTATCTGCTTTCCTGGTGATATAGGTAAATTAGGTTGTTTCCAGGTTTTGCCTATTACAAATACAGCTTCTGTAAACATTCACAATCAAGTTGTTGTATAAACATATGCTTTCATTTCTTTGGACAATTGCCAAGGGGTGTGCTAACTGAATCACATGGTAGATGCATGTTTAACATTTTAAGAATATAGTGAGCTATTTTCTAAACTGGATTTACCATTTTACATTCCCAGGAGCAATGTATGAGAGTTTTAGTTTCTCCAAACTCTTGTCAATACTTGATATATTCAGTCTTTCAAATTTTAACCATTCTAAGAAGTATATAGTAGTATCTCATTGTGGTACTACTTTGCATTTTCTTTCTTTTTTTTTTTTATTATATTTTAGGTTCTGGGATACATGTGCAGATCATGCAGGATTATTGCATAGGTACATACATGGCAATGTGGTTTGCCGCCTCCATCCCCCTGTCATCTATATCTGGCATTTCTCCCCATGTTATCCCTCCCAAACCTCCCCATCGCAATTTTCCCTCCCCTAGCCCCCAAAACAGACCACAGTGTGTGATGCTCCCCTCCCTGTGTCCATGTGTTCTCATTGTTCAACACCTGCATATGGGTGAGAACCTGTGGTGTTTGCTTTTCTGTTCTTGTGTCAGTTTGCTGAGAATGATGGTTTCCAGATTCATCCATGTCCCTACAAAGGACACAACTCATCATTTTTTATGGCTGCATAATTCCATGGTGTATATATGCCACATTTTCCTTGTCCGGTGTATCATCGATGGCCATTCGGGTTGGTTCCAGGTCTTTGCTATTGTAAACAGTGCCGCAGTGAACATATGCATGCATGTGTCTTTATAATAGAATGATTTATAATCCTTTGGGTATATAACCAGTAATGGGATTACTGGATTAAATGGAATTTCTATTTCTAGGTCCTTGAGGAGTCGCCACACTGTCTTCCACAATGGTTGAACTAGTTTACACTCCCACCAACAGTGTAAAAGTGTTCCTATTTCTCAGCATTCTCTCCAGCATCTGTTGTCTCCAGATTTTTTAATGATCGCCATTCTAACTGATGTGAGATGGTATCTCAATGTGGTTTTGATTTGCATTTCTCTAATGACCAGGGATGATGAGCATTTTTTCATATGTTTGTTGGCCTCATATATGTCTTCTTTTTAAAAGTGTCTGCTCATACCCTTCTTCCACTTTTGAATGGGTTTGTTTGTTTTCTTGTAAGTCTGTTTTAGTTCTTTGTAGATTCTGCATATGAGCCATTTGTCAGATGGGTAGATGGCAAAAATTTTTCCCATTCTGTTTGTTGCCTGTTCACTCTAATGGTTGTTTCTTTTGCTGTACAGAAGCTCTTAAGTTTAATTAGATCCCATTTGTCTATTTTGGCTTTTGTTGCCAATGCTTTCGGTGTTTTAGTCACGAAGCCCTTGCCTGTGCCTATGGTCTGAATGGTTTTGCCTAAGTTTTCTTTTAGGGTTTTTATGGTGTTAGGTCTTATGTTTAAGTCTTTAATCCATCTGGAGTTAATTTTAGTGTAAGGTGTCAGGGAGGGGTCCAGTTTCTGCTTTCTGCACATGGCTAGCCAGTTTTCCCAACACCGTATATTAAACAGGGAATCCTTTCCCCATTGCTTGTTTTTGTCTGGTTTGTCAAAGATCAGATGGTTGTAGATATGTTGCGTTGCGTCCGAGACCATTTCAGGCAAATACTTGGAATAAAGGAATTTGGGGCTAATATTTATTAATTTTAGAATCATAGAGATAATATTAATTGAGATATATGTTTGGATAGTGGTCTAAAATTTTAGGAACATTGTTGTTCAGAAATTTAGAAAGTAAAAACATTATTTCCAGAAAGTATTAAGTAACTTACAGAATCTCCATTTGCTTTCAGATATAGACGCAGCTCTCAATACTGTCAACTTGATGAACTGTGACAGAGTTCAACTTAGTGACTTGAAAAATGCTTTTGATGACCTCAATATTTCCTTAAAGCCCGAAGAACATCAGATGTTAGTGAAAACACTTGATGCTGATGGTATATATAATCACTATAAGTTGATTTTTCTAATAAAATGACAGCAATTTTTAAATTCCCCTTTCTTATTTTCCATTCATTACTCCTTAAATTTTTTTTTGCTTTATTCTTTTAATGGGAAAACATTCTGTAATTTATCTTGATAGAAAATATTGAATAAGGTTAGTATGATTTTTTTAAAGCCCTTACTTTATAACCCCATTGGGTATCCTGTGTTGATTCCATCAGGGTATGTTTGTTTTTAGGACTTACTGTAGAAATCAGAAAAGGTGAAGTGCAGTAGATATAGTAGTCCTCCCTTACCCACATGGGATGTGCTTGAAGACCTCCACTAGATGCCTAAGACCATGGATAGCACCAAACCCTCTAATATACTATATTTTTCCCGTATGCACATACCCATGATAAAGTTTAATTTATAGATTAGGCATAGTAAGAGATTAACAATAAAGTAGAACAATTATAACAATATAGTAGCATCACTACTCTTGCACTTTGGGGCCATTATTAAGTAAAAGAAAGGTTACTTGAATGCAAGCACTTCAGTATTGCAACAGTTGATCTGATAACCAGGATGACTACTAAGTGACTAACAGGCAGGTAGTGTATGCAATGTGGATACATTAGACAAAGGGATAGTTGAGGTCCAGGTCTGGACAGATTGGTAGGGTGGGATGGTATAGGATTTTATCACACTACTCAGAAGAGTGTGCAATTTAAAAATTATAAATTGTTTATTTCTGAAATTTTCCATTTCATATTTCAGACTGTGCTTGACTGTGGGTAACTGAAAGAGAGGAAAGTGAAACTGCACATAAGTAGGGACTACTGTAATTCTCTGAGGCTGTGCTAATGTGAAACTGCTGTTAGACAGAAGGAGACTAAGGGAGGATGTTCACCTCTCTGCCTGAGATAGTTTTGACATGAAGTTGAGTGTAAATCTTCAGAGATTTCAGAGAAAAGAATATATAAGTTTCAAATTTTGGCAGTTATGTGCACTTTTAAAAATTAAAATCATTTCTGAAAAATATTTTCTTTTTTATATTATTAAATGGATTTGACATTGCTTAATCAGTTTTATTGACTGGGGTCATTGCAAGGCATAACTTCAGGAGCACATTGTCTCTGTGTGAACAGTACACCTTGGTGTTGTACGACCCAGTCTTCGTGGTTATATGTGACAGACTTGATCATGAGTGCCTGTATTTGTCAGGAACTATATAATATGTAATGTATTCAAAGAAATAGAAAATATTCACATTTAGAAAACTTTGAGCCTAGTTAGTGAGGCAACGCATAAATATAAAATATGAATAAAAATACAACAAAATGTATATAACATATAGGAGATAAAAGTTCAGTGAATTGTGCAGTGTTATGTCGAAGTTCTTGAATACTTGCCAGAGAAACAGTGATGATACTGAGTTGAATAGGAGTTTAGAGAAGAACTGTTTTATTCATTCAAAGTTTATTCAGAACCTATTGCTTGCTGGGAATTAAATATGTAAAGATAAAAGATAATTTCTCAAGCGCTTACAGACTACTGAGATACAAACAATGAGGATACTAATAGCTAAATACTGTGGTAGAGGTAAACATAGAGTATTCTAGAAATATATATAGTATACCTAACCCACACAGAGTTGGATAAGGTAGTGAGAAGAGGACTCCTGGAGAAAATTCTGTTGGAGTTTTAAAATACAGTTGTACCTTGTTTTATTGCACTTTGCTTTATTGTACTTTGCAGATTTTTTTTTAAAACAAATTGAAGGTTTACAGCAACCCTATTTCAAGCAAGTCTATTAGCACCATTTTCCTAACAGTATGTGATCACTTTGTGTTTCTGTGTCACATTTTGGTAACTCTTACAATTTTAAGTTGTTTATATGTCTGTTATAGTGACTTGTGATCAATGATTTTTGATATTACTATTTAGTTTTGGGGTAGTACCATGAACTGCACCCATATATGATGGCAAACTTAGTTGATAAAGTATGTGTTCTAACTGCTACACTGACCAGCTATTCCTCCATTCTCTATCCCTCTTCTTGGGCCCCCCTATTCCTTGAGACACAACAATATTGAAATTAAGCCAATTAATAACTGTACAATGACCTCTAAATATTCTTCTTCTTCTTCCTCTTCCTCTTCTTTCTTCTTCTCCTTCTCCTCCTCCTCCTCCTTCTCCTCCTTCTTCTCCTTCTCCTTCTCCTTCTCCCTCTTCTTCTTCTCCTCCTCCTCCTCCTCCTCCTCCTCTTCTTATTCTTTCTTCTTTCTTCTTCTTTTCTTCTTTTCTTCTTTCTTGTACCTGGGGTCATGGCTTCAAAGGCAGGCTGACTCTCTTGTTAGGGGCTAATGCATCTAGTGACTTTAAGTTGAAGTCATTCATTAACTTCATTAACCAGTCTGAAAATCCAAGGGTTCTTAAGATACTACTAGCACAGGATAAATCTACTCTGTCTGTGCTCTATAAATGGAATTACAAAGCGTGGATGACAGCACATTGTTTGCAGCATGATTTACTGAAAATTTTAAGCCCACTGTTGTGACTTACTGCTCAGAAAAAGATTACTTTCAAATATTACTGCTCATTAACAGTGCAGCTAGTCACCCAAGAGCTCTGATGGAGATGTACAAGGAGATGAATGTTGTTTTCGTGCCTGCTAACACAACATTCTGCGGCCCGTGGACCAAGGAGTAATTTTGACTTTCAAGTCTTGTTATTTAAGAAATACATTTTTTTAAGGCTGTAGCTGCCACAGATAGTGATTCCTCTGATGGACCTGGGCAAAATAAAATGAAAATTTTCTGGAAGAGACCCTTCATTCTAGAGCCATTAGGAACATTCATGATTTGTGGGAGGAGGTCAAAATGTCAACATTAACAGGAATTTGGAAGCTGTTGGCTCTAGCCTTCATGATAACTTTAAGAATTCATTAGAAGAAGTACCTGCATATGTAATATAAATAGCAAGAGAACTAGAACTAGAAGTGGATCCCAAATATGTGACTGAATTGCTGCAATTTCATGATAAAACTTTAATGGATAAGAAGTAAGCAAAGAAAGTAGTTTCCTGAGATGGAATCCACACACCTGGTGAAGATGCTTGGGAACACTGTTGAAATGACAACAAAGGATTTGGAAGATTACATAACCTTAATTGATAAAGCAGTGGCAAGGTTTGAAAGGATTGATTCTAATTTGAAGGAAGTTCTGCTATGGGTAAAGTGCTATCAAACATTATTGCATGCTACAGAGAAATCTTCCATGAAGGGAGCAGAAAATCGATGCAGCAAATTTCATTGTTGTCTTATTTTAAGAAATTGTCACAGCCATCCCAATCTTCAGCAACTACTACACTGATCTGTCAGCATTCATCAATATTAAGGCAAGACCCTCTACCAGCAAAAAGATTGACTCACTGAAGACTCAGATGATTACTAGCCTGTTTTAGCAATGAAGTATTTTTAAGTTAAGGTATGTACATTGAGTGTTTTAGACATCATGCTACTGCACATTTAGTAGAATAAAGTGTACACATAACTTTTATATGCACTGCACTGGGAACCAAAAAAATTTGTGACTTGTTTTATTGTACTATTTACTTTACTGCAGTAGTCTGAAACTGAAACTGCAGTATCTCTGAGGTATGCCTGTATGAATAGGAATTAGTCAAGCTTGTGGGTACAGGGAAGGGGACTGGAAGAGGTTATGAGAGAATACTTAGTATGTGCAAAGTGTATAAGAGGGAAGCTTATGGAGAAGTCAAGAACTCCAAGTAGTCTAGAATGTTTGCGTCAGGGCAAAGGTGTGTGTGTGTGTGTGTGTGTGTGTGTGTGTGTGCGCGCGCGTGCGCGCGCACATGCTCATGCATGTGGGTTTGTGTGTATTTTTTCAACAAAATTCACAGTTCATTTTGATGTGAATTAAACTTTGATCATTGACTTGCAAGTGTATGGTAGTATAGAGAGAGAGAGAGAGAGAGAGAGAGAGAAATGAGGTGTCCAGGTAGCCAACAGAAGATCAATAGTTTTTCTTACTTGATTTTTTTCTGAGCAAAATTATTTGAACTTTATCTTGAAGACTAAAGACTTACTGAAGAATTCAAAATTGAAAAGTTATGTGATTTTGTTCTTTATAATAGGCATTCTGATAGCAGTATTAAGAAAGGCGAGATTGGAAGCAGGGAGATATAGAAAGCAAACAGTAATGTAGGTTAAAAATTAGGAGTGTTAACTAAGGCTTGGCTCTAGTGTTGAAAAGAAAGGGACAGATATGAGGTTGAGGAAGCAGAATTTCATCATTGTTTGATAAAGTTAGGGTAGGGAGAGGGACAGGGATTGAGGATGAGTAGTACATTTCTGGCTTGGGAGACTGATTTCATGGTAATGCTTTATACTAAAATAGGGAATACAGGAGGATGATCCGGTTTAGATGCAAAGATGAGGAGTTCAGCTTAAGATGTATTGTGTTTGAGGTACTTACGGACATAGAGTTGAAGATGTGTAGTGAACAGTGGTCTAGCCTGGAAATCGAAACTTGGGAATCATCAACATATAGTTCATAGTTAGGGGAGAGTTTAGGGAAAGTTTATAGATCATATTAAGAAGAGGGCTAAGGAGAGAGAAATCAGGCATGCTAATTTTTTTTATTGTACTTTAAGTTCTGGGGTACATGTGCAGATCTTGCAGAATTGTTGCATAGGTACATATAGAGGCAGGCTAATATTTAAGCAATGATGGAGAAAGAGTAGTTTATAAAGGACATTAAGAAGAAACAGGCCTGGTGCGGTGGTTCACACCTGTAATCCCAGCACTTTGGGAGGCTGAGGTGGGAAGATCACAAGGTCAGGAGTTTGAGACCAGCCTGACTAACATGGTGAAACCCCATCTCTACTAAAAATACAAAAATTAGCTAGGCATGGTGGTGTGCGCCTGTAATCCCAGCTATTCAGGAGGCTGAGGCAGGAGAATCACTGAGGCAGGAGAATCACAGGAGGCAGAGGTTGCAGTGAGCTGAGATTGTGCCACTCCCCTCCAACCTGGGTGACAGAGCGAGACTCCATCACAAAAAAACTATTTTAAATTTCATACAGAACCAAAAAAGAGCCCACATGGCCAAGACAATCCTAAGTAAAACAAAACAAAACAAACAAAACAAGGCTGGAGGCATCATACTACCTGACTTCAACTATACTACAAGGCTACAGTAATCAAAACAGCATAGTACAGGTACCAAAACAGAGATGTAGACCAATGGAACAGAACAGAGGCCTCAGAAATAATGCCACACATCTACAACCATCTGATCTTTGACAAACCTGACAAAAACAAGCAGTGGGGAAAGGATTCTTTATTTAATAAATGGTGTTGGGAAAACTGGCTAGCCATATGCAGAAAGCTGAAACTGGATCCCTTCCTTACACCTTATACACAGATTAACTCAAGATGAATTAAAGATTTTAAACATAAGACCTAACACCATAAAACCCCTAGAAGAAAACCTAGGCAATACCATTGAGGACATAGACATGGGCAAAGACTTTATGACTGAACATCAAACGTAATGGCAACAAAAGCCAAAATAGACAAATGGGATCTAATTAAACCAAAGAGCTTCTGCGCAGCAAAAGAAATTATCATCAGAGTAAACAGGCAACCTACAAGAATGGGAGAAAAATTTTGCAATCTACCCATCTGACAAAGGGCTGATATCCAGAATCTACAAAGAACTTAAACAAATTTACAAGAAAAAAACAACCTCATCAAAAAGTGGGCAAAGAATATGAACTGACACTTCTCAAAAGGAGACATTTATGCAGCCAACAAACATGAAAAAAAGTTCGCCATTACTGGTCATTAGAGAAATGCAAATCAAAACCACAGTGAGATACCATCTCACACCAGTTAGAATGGCAACCATTAAAAAGCCAGGAGACGGCAGATGCTGGAGAGGATGTGGAGAAATAATAATGCTTTTACGCTGTTGGTGGGAGTGTAAATTAATTCAACCATTGTGGAAGGCAGTGTGGTGATTCGTTAAGGATCTAGAACTAGAAATACCATTTGACTCAGCAATTCCATTACTGGGTATATACCCAAAGGATTATAAATTATTCTTTTATAAAGACATATGCACATGTATGTCTATTGTGGCACTGTTCACAATAGCAAAGACTTGGAACTAACCCAAATGCCCATCAGTGATAGACTGGGTAAACAAAATGTGGGACATATACACCATGGAATACTATAAAAAAGGATGAGTTCATATTCTTTGCAGGGACATAGATGAAGCTGGAAACCATCATTCTCAGCAAACTAACACAAGAACAGGAAATCAAACACTGCATGTTTTCACTCATAAATTGGTGTTGAACAATGAGAACACGTGGACACAGGGAGGGGAACATCACACACTGGTGCCTGCCATGGGTTTGGGAGGGGCTAAGGAAGGGATAGCATTAGGAGAAATACCTAATGTAGATGACAGGGTGATGGATGCAGCAAACCACCATGGCACGTGTATAACTATGTAACAAACCTACATGTTCTGCACATGTACCCCAGAACTTGAAAGTATAATAAAAAAAGAAGGAGTAAGAAGAGGAGGAGGAAGAGGAGGAGGAGGAGGGAGGAGGAAGGAGGGAGGAGGAGGAGGAGGGAGAAGGGAGGAGGAGGGATTAAAAAAAGAAGAAAAAAAAAGAAATAACCAGAATGGTAGGAGGGAAACTAAGAGAAAGCTGTAGCAACAAAACAAAGGAAAGTGTTTGAAGAGTTAAATAAGACAAAAAGTTAAAAATGCTTATCATTTGGCAATAAATAGTTAACTGGTGAACTTGTAAGTACAATCTCAGTGGAGGTGGAAGTCAAAATACCAATAGTTTGAGATGTGAGTGAGGATATGATAAAACACTTTTTTCCCAAAAATTAAGTTACAAAGGAAAGGAAAGGGATAGAGTAATAGAAGTATAGGATCAAGGGAGGGCTTTTACTTGTGAGCTAGTTTTGTTATGAATAGGAAGGATTTGGATAGGTAGAGAGTATACTGCATTTTGGGCAAAAATGTACAGGGTAAAAAATCATTCTTTGAGGGGTAATAAGTGAACCAAGTTAGCTCACTATGTAAGTCTTTTATGTTTCTTGAATCTATTAATATATCTTTGTTCTGTTTTTCTCTTTACAGAAAAGGGAGACACTTCCCTAAAGAGTGCACTTTTCACATTGAAAAGCAATAGGCGTTTACAAGATTTCAGAGGTGAGAATAATTAGGAAATTTTCTACACCTTGAGAATATAGAAAATGTTTACTGTAATTGTTGAAAGTAATGGGCCACTTCCATAAAAATTTAACTAATATGCTATAAGGTCAGATGAATGGTACACATTTAGTATTTTAAGAGTTCACATGAAGGTGAGAGTCCTATGTTCATTTAAGACTAGTTTTTAATATTAGTTATTCATTCATAGCTGAAGAAAACAATGCGTCTTCCAAAAAGGATGGCAAAAATATCTGCCTTTAAAAATGTTTTAATAAATTAAAAATTTCTGATTTGGTAATACATTTATACACATCATAAATTAGTAAGTGCATAGAGATCTACAGTTAAAATCTCCCTCTGATCTAGTCTCTTTCCAATTCCTACCTCTTTCTCCCAATAACTAACCATTGTATTTAGTTTGTTATGTAGGCAGTATTTGGAGATTTTTGGGGGGTGGGTTAGGGGAATGGTCTTTCTCTGTCTTCCAGGCTGGAGTGCAGTGGTGTGATCATAGCTCACTGCAACATCAACCTCCTAGCCTCACGCATCCGCCTGCCTCAGCCTCCTGAGTAAATGTAACCACAAGTATGCACCACCATGCCCAGCTAATTGTTTTATTTTTTGTAGAGATGGGGCTTTGCCATGTTGCCCAGGCTGGTCTCGTAATCCTGGGCTCAAACAATCTGCCAACCTTAGCCTCTCAAATTGCTGGGATTACTTGGCTGCATTTGGAGATTTTTATGAACACTGAAGTAAATATGAATATGCATTTTTCCTCCATATTAATTTTACACAAATACAAGCATACTGTGTCCTTGATATTTTTCATTAAACAATAACAATATATTTTGGATATTTGTTTAATTCAGGGCACAAAGAGCTTTCTTAGATTTTTAATAGCTATATACAGAATATGTGAATGTTTCTTTTTTTTAAATTAGTTTTTAGGGCTGGATAATCGTATGTTCTTTTTTTTTTTTTAAAGTATTTAATTGTGGACCAGTTGCAGTTGTTCACACCTGTAATCTCAGCGCTTTGGGAGGCCAAGGTGGGTAGATCATTTGAGGTCAGGAGTTCAAGACCAGCTCTGGCCAACATGGTGAAACCCCGTTTTTAATAAAAAATTAACTGGGTGTGGTGGCTGGCACCTGTGGTCCCAACTACTCAGGAGGCCAAGGTAGGAGAATCACTTGAATCTGGGAGGTGGAGGTTGCAGTGAGCCAAGATTGTGCCACTGCGCTCCAGCCTGGGCAACAGAGCAAGACTCTGTCTCAGAAAAAATTATTTATATTTTAATTTCCATGGTACATGTGCAGGGTGAGCAGGTTTGTTACATAGATGAACATGTGCCATGGTTGTTTGCTGCACCTATCAACCTATCACCTAGGTATTAAGCCCAGCATGCATGAAATATAAATAATTTTATATTTATATTTTTATAAAAGTATAAAATATATACTTTTTTATATATTGAAAAAAATATAAAAAATGAAAGAATTTCAAAGAATTTCTTGATTTCTGCCTTAATTTTATTATTTACCCAGGAGTCATTCAGGAGCAGGTTGTTCAATTTCCATGTAGTGGTGTGATTTTGAGTGAGTTTGTTCATCTTGAGTTCTAATTTGATTGTGCTGTGGTCTGAGAGACTGTTTATTGTGATTTCAGTTCTTTTACATTTGCTGAGGAATGATTTACTTCCAATTATGTGGTCAATTTTAGAGTACATGTCATGTGGTGCCAAGAAGAATGTACATTCTGTTTGTTTTGCCTGGAGAGTTCTGTAGATATTTATCAGGTCCACTTGATCCAGAGCTGAATTCAAGCCCTGAATATCTTTGTTAATTTTCTCTCTTGATGATCTAATATTGACAAGGGGATATTAAAGTCTCCCACTGTTATTGTGTGGGAGTCTGTATATCTTTGTAGGTCTCTAAGAATTTATTTTATAAATCTGGGTGCTCCTTTATTGGGTACATATATATTTAGGATAGTTATGTCTTCTTGTTGAATTGAACCCTTTACCATTATGTACCCTTCTTTGTCTTTTTTGATCTTTGTTGGTTTAAAGTCTGTTTTATCAGAAACTAGGATTGCATCCCTTGCTTTTTTCTGTTTTTCATTTGCTTGGTGAATTTTACTTCATCCTTTTTTTTGAGTCTATTTGTGTCTTTGCATGTGAGATGGGTCTCTTGAATACAGCACACTGATGGATCTTGAGTCTTTATCTAGCTTGCCATTCTATGTATTTTAATTGGATCATTTAGCCCATTTACATTTCAGATTAATATTGTTAAGTGTTAATTTGATCCTGTCATCATGACACTAGCTTGTTATTTTGCAGACCTGTTTATGTAGTTGCTTCATAGTATCATTCGTCTGTGTACTTCAGTGTGTTTTTGTAGTGGCTCATAATGGTTTTTTCCTTTCCATATATATTAGTGTGTACTTCAGGAGCTCTTGCAAAGCAGGCCTAGTAGTGACAGATTCTTCAGCACTTACTTGTCTGAAAAAGATTTTCCTTCACTTATGAAGCTTAGTTTGGCTGGACATGAAATACTGGGTTGAAAATTATTTTCTTTAAGAATGTCAAATATTGGCCCCCACTCTCTTCTGGCTTGTAGGGTTTCTTTTTTTTTCCCCATTTTATTTATTTTATTGCATTTTAGGTTTTGGGGTACATGTGAAGAACATGCAAAATTGTTGCATAGGTACACACGTGGCAGTGTGATTTGCTGCCTTCCTCCCCATCACCTACATCTGGCATTTCTCCCCTTGCTTTCTCTCCCCAGCTCCCCACCCCCCACCGTCCCTCCTCTATTTCCCCCCAACCGACCCCAGTGTGTAGTGCTCCCCTCCCTGTGTCCATGTGTTCTCATTGTTCAACACCCACCTATGAGTGAGAACATGAGGTGTTTGATCTGGTTTCTACAGAGAGATCAGCTGTTAGTCTGATGGGCTTCCCTTTGCGAGTAACCACCTTTCTTTCTGGCTGCCCTTAACATTTTTTTCTTCATTTCGACTTTGGAGAATCTGATGATTATATGCCTTGGAGTTAATCTTCTCATGAAGCATCTTACTGGAGTTCTCTGTATTCTTAAGCTTGAATGTTGGCCTGTCTTGCTATGTTGGGGAAATTCTCCTGGATGATATTCTAAAGTGTGTTTTCCAACTTGATTCTGTTCTCCCTGGCTCTTTCAGGTACTTCAATCAGTTGTAGGTTCAGTCCTTTAACATCATCTCATAGTTCTCAGAGGTTTTGTTCATTCCTTTTCATTTTGTTTTCTCTAATCTTGTCTGCATGCCCTGTTTTAGCAAAATAGTTTTCAAGCTCTGATATCTTTTCTTTCACTTGTTCTGTTTGGCTATTAATACTTGCATTTGCATTGTGAAGTTCTTGTGTTGTATTTTCAACTCCATCAGGTCATTTATGTTTCTCTCTCAACTGGTTATTCTGGTTAACATCTCCTGTAATGTTTTTATCATGGTTCTTAACTTCTTTGCAATGAGTTAGAACATACTCCTTTATCTCAGCAAAGTTTGTTTTTACCCATCTTCTGAAGCCTACTTCTGTCAATTCAGCCATCTTAACCTCAGACCAGTTCTGTGCCCTTGTTTGAGAAGTGTTGTGGTCATTTGGAGGAGAAGAGGCACTCTGGCTTTTTGAGTTTTCAGCCTTTTTGCAATGATTCTTATCTTCATAGGTTTATCTACCTTTGATCTTTGAGGCTGCTGACCTTGGTTGGGGTTTTCGTGGAGACTTTTTCATTGATGTTGTGGTTGTTATGGTTGCTTTCTGTTTGTTTTTCTTTTAGTAGTCAGGCCCCTCTTCCATAGGGCTGCTGTGGTTTGCTGGGCATCCACTCCAGACCTTATTTGCCTGGGTCCTTCCTGCCTCTGGAGGTATCACCAGTGGAGGCTGCAGAACAGTGATGATGGCAGCCTCTTCCTTCCTCTGGTAGCTCTGTCCCAGAGAGGCACCAAACTAATGCCAGTGGGAACTCTCCCCTATGAGGTGTCTGGAGACTCCTGTTAGGAGGTCTCACCCAGTCAGGAAGAGTGGGTTCAGGCGTCTGCTTAAATAAGGAGTCCGGCTGCCCATTGGTGGAGTGGGTGTGCTGCACTGCAGGGGATCTCCCTTGTTCAGGCTGCCCTGACTCTCCAGAGTCAGCAGGCAGAAAAGACTAAAGACCACTGATGTACAATACTATAGCTGTCTCTCCTCCTAGGGGCTCCTCTAAGGGATGTATCAGAATCCTGTCCATAAACTCCTGGCTGGGGATGTTGAAATTCCTGCAGGGAGGCCCCCCACTGGTGAAGAGGAGTGGCTTGGGGTCCTGCTTAAAGTAGTCTGACCATGAACTGATCCAGCCGCTGTGCTGCACAGTGGGGAATTGCTCCCATCCAAATTGCCCAGTCTTGCTGGCACCTGTGGCAGGGGAAAATGGCCAACTGGAGCTGCAGTGGTGATGGCTGCTCCTCCTCCACCACAGAACTTGGTGCCCTTAGGTGGTCTCCAGCCTGTTGCATTGGCTGGCAGGGATTCCAAGCCAGTGGGCTTTAGCTTGTGGGGTTCCATGGGAGTGGAGCCCACTGAGTGAGGCCACTTGGATGACAGATCTACTGCCTCACCAGAGTTCCCAGTATGTGGAAACGCTTGTCAGTGCTTGCTGCCTGAGCAGCTGCTGTGAGTCTGCACAGCTCTGTGCTTGGGACTCAAGTCCCTTGTGGCTTGGGCTCATGAGGGGACCTCCTGATTTGCAGGTTGCAAGGATCTGTAGGAAAAGCATGGTTTTCAGGGGAGGAGTAGCACATTCCCTCACTGCCTTTCTCAGCTGGGAGAGGGAACTCCGTTTTCCCCTGTGAAACTCCCAGGTGGGCCCTCACTCCACCCTGCTTTTCCTTGCTTCCCATGGGTTGCACCAACCACATAGTCAGTACCAATAAGAGAACCTTGGTACCTCAAATGAAGATGCAGAATTCACTCTCCATTTTCATCCTTCTTGGTGGGAGCCACAGAGCAGAGCTATTTCTATTCAGCCATCTTGGCAGCTGCTCCATGAATTTTTCATATGGAGATATATATGTTAACTTACTGGAATCATTGATTCATCCAACTTGGTGTTGTCTTCTTGACTAAGGCACCAAGATACATTTCATGGCATCATGTGATGGCTCTACTCTGTGAAATATCTCCCTAACTTTTGAGTATAATTTTGAAAATCTCAAATTCGCTTAATAAGTTAATAGCCTAATGATTTATGGACTTACCAAAACTATTCTCCTACTCTTATTTTAGTCTAAAAAAGGATTTCAGGGCAAAAATATCTATAGTTTTACATTATAATCTCCTAAAGATGTGTTTTATTTTGTTTGGTTTCAAATAATATCATATTATTTTGTTAGCAAATAATAACACATTTGTATAGTATTTGATGTTTTACCAAACACTTTCATATAATTTATTTCACATAGTTTATTCTTCATGACTACTCTGTTAAGTAGGTTTCTTATAATCAAGAATGAGAAAAGTAAAGCTTAAAGAGACCGTACCTTACCCAGGATCCCACAGAAAATATTAGACTTCAAGTTCAGGGATTTTCTTTTTAATGTATTATAGTTTGCTAGTTTAGTTGAAAATTGATCTTATACTGTAATCACAAGTTAATATGATTAGTATACATATATTTAATACAAATATGCATGGTATAGGAGTAGACCACAAGGATGTTAAACTCCAGCTGGAAAAATAAGCCATTTACAAAAAATATAACTAATATACCAAAAGATCAAATGAGTGGTTACACATTATTTTAGGAGTTCAGGTGAAAGTGAAAGTCTTAGGAAAAATTGGAGGAAAGCTTTGAAGGAAGATGCAGAAGAAGAAAGAGTAACATTTAGGTAGGTAGAGGAAACAAACATGAACTAAACTTTGGATGAGTTCAGTGATAGAAACATTTGAAAGTCATTGTCATAGAGCTGATAGCTGAAAAAGATGATTTGAATAAATGGAGAAACATTTTATTGATGGATTTCACATATTTTACTAAGGCCACTTCTCAACATTAATTTATAAATGTAATTTGATTCCTAAAGGAGTGTTTTTTGGGAGGAGGTATTGGAGGGAAGAATTGGTATTATCATTTAGAAGCTCTTCCAAAAGAATAAGAAAGGAAGAAAGAATAAGTTGAAGTTAGAAAGGATATGGTAAAGTGGCCATTTTCTTTCATTATTTGGGAATACATCTCAAAGGCCTTGAAAATGTGCACCCCATTTAACTTCAGAAATTTATGTTAAGAAAAAACCCTTAGTGAACAGATGCATGTTTAAGAAAATTTATCATCAGGATTCCATTTATGATAACAATTAAATTTTGGTTTAGAAAGATAGGATATATTCATGCAGTGGAATACTATACAATCATTTAAAATGATGCTGGTAGAATAGTATGTTGAAAGGGAAAATGGTCACAATACCTTGCTAAGTGAAACAAAGCTTGCCATTAAAGAGTATTAAATAAATATCATTAAAACATAAAAATGCTGTAAGGGCACATACCAAAAGTATTATCAAGGATAATTTTTTGATGATGAAGTTTTGAATGATTCCTCCCCTGAGTATTTAAGGAGGATTGTACTGTGATATATCATCTTTAAATTAAAGATGTCAGGTATCTATGCTAATTTTTGAGCTGTAGTTTTATTATTTAGAATGTGACTGTAGCTAAACTGAAAATATTTTCTATTTTCTCTTGATAGAGGTTAACAAACTTGCAAAGGCCTTAGACAAAGTCACCAATGAAAAACTTGATGCTGATGATGTTAATTCTGTACTGAAAGGCCTGGGGATTTATTTTCCAGAGGAAGAATTACAGGAGGTGCTTGGATCCATTTGTGTGGATAGTATGTATTTCCTCTTCTGAGTCATTTATTTATTTTTTGAAAAAATTTTAAGTGTTTTCTGGCAAAACGCAGACAGCCTGCTAGACAAATTCTAAAAGAGCTGTACTTCTGAGTCATTTATTAAACACAGAAAGCTTGTGTTTACTTTCACTCATAATCCAAAGAGCTTAAGTGATTAGGAATCAAATGTAATGAGTACAACACTAGATTTTTGCTTTTAGGGCTGAATGAGAATTTGTTCTAGATTATCTTCAGATTGAGTATCCTAGGAAAATATAATACGCCTCTCTTTATCCTATTTGTTTGCCTCCTGAGATTTGAATCACAGGTTCTTACTGGTCAGAAGCTGTGAAGCTGTTTCAAGCCCATTAAACAAAGACCTAATCCTTAGTGTGCTGATGCACACAATCAGTTGGGTTTCCCTAGAATTCTCAAAGGGTTATGCTGGGGTTTTTAGAATCCTGCCAATGGAATGTTTAGTTTACATGCAGAGCCTTGAAATGTTCTTTTTCTTTCTAAGTCCCAAGCATATGCCTGGTAGAAAGCCAAATATCACACACTTCCTTTACTAACATATCTTTGCTTATAAGCATAGTCTTCTTTAGATATTATGGTTGAGTTTGGTTTATAAGACATTTTCTGGCAGATAAACTGTCTTCCATGAAATATAGGCAGTTATAGGACTTGTAATACTGACAAGTTAAGATAATATAATATGAGAGAGGAAACATACCAAAACAGTTGTCCCAGCTGGTTAAGGCGTGTATAAAATCCATAAAATGTGCATTGACATTATAACAAAAATGACCACAAGAGTCATCATAATCATATTCCTTTTCACAGTTATTCTGAGATATGTATAGCAGAATCAGAGTTAGAAAAACATTTTAGCCTTAAAGATTAAGTAGGCATGTTTATCTTCTAATGCTATTGCTTTGTATCTTTTGATCAAATGTTCTTTATTCCTTTATGTTCCATTTTCAGAAGAGGAGAAAGTGAACTTAAAAGATTGCCTGAATCAGTTGATGCAAATGCTGTATTTTACTGAAGGTTCAAGTGAGTGAGAATTATATATCTATATATTGCATTTTAGGTTGTAGGGTACATGTAAAGAAAATGCAGGATTGTTGCATAGGTACATACATAGCAATGTGGTTTGCTGCCTCCATCCCCATCACCTGTCTCTGGCATTTCTCTCCATGTTATCCCTCCCCAACTCGCTACCCACTACTGTCCTTCCCCTAGTCCCCTCTACAGACTTCAGTGTGTGATGCTCCCCTCCCTGTGTCCATGTGTTCTCATTCTTCAGCACCCGCCTATGAGTGAAAACGTGGTGTTTTATTTTCTGTTCTTGTATCAGTTTGCTGAGAATGATGGTTTCCAACTTCATCCATGTCCCTACAAAGGGCACAGACTCATCGTTTTTTATGGCTGAATAGTATTCCATTGGTGTATATGTGCCACATTTTCCCTGTCCCGTTTATCATCCATGGGCATTTGGGTTGGTTCCAAGTCTTGCTATTGTAAACAGTGCTGCAATGAACATATGTGTGCATATGTCTTTATAATAGAACAATTTATAATACTTTGGATATATACCCAGTAATGGGATTGCTGGGTCAAATGGAATTTCTCTTTCTGGGTCCTTGAGGAATCGCCACACTGTCTTCCACAATTGTTGAACTAATTTACACTCCCACCAACAGTGTAAAAGTGTTCCTATTTCTCCATTTCCTCTCCAGCATCTGTGGTCTCCAGATTTTTTAATGTTTGCCATTCTAACTGGCGTGAGATGGTATCTCAATGTAGTTTTGATTTGCATTTCTCTAATGACCAGGGATGATGAGCATTTTTTCATATGTTTGTTGGCCCCATATATGTCTTCTTTTGAAAAGTGTCTGTTCATATCCTACACCCACTTTTGAATGGGCTTGTTTGGTTTTTTCTTGTAAATCTGTTTTAGTTCTTTGTAGATTTTGGATATAAGTCCTTTGTCAGATGTGTAGATTACAAACATTTTTTCCCATTCTGTTGGTTGCTAGTTCACTATAATGATTGTTTCTTTTGCTGTGCAGAAGCTCTGGAGTTTAATTAGATCTATTTTGGCTTTTGTTGCCAATGCTTTTGGTTTTTTAATCATGAAGTCCTTGCCTATGCCTATGTCCTGAATGGTTTTGCCTAGGTGTTCTTCTAAGGTTTTTATGGTGTTAGGTCATATGTTTAAGTCTTTAATCCATCTGGAGTTAATTTTAGAGTAAGGTGTCAAGAAGGGGTCCAGTTTCTGCTTTCTGCACATGGCTAGCCAGTTTTCCCATCACCATTCATTAAACAGGGAATCCTTTCCACATTGCTTGTTTTTGTGAGGTATGTCAAAGATCAGATGATTGTAGATGTGTGGCGTTGCCTCCGAGGCCTCTGTTCTGTTCCATTGGTCTACATCTCTGTTTTGGTACCAGTACCATGCTGTTTTGATTACTGTAGCCTTGTAGTATAGTTTGAAGTCCGGTAGCGTGATGCCTCCTGCTTTGTTCTTTTTGCTTAGAATTGACTTGACTATGCAGGCTCTCTTTTGGTTCCATACGAAGTTTAAGGTGATTTTTTTCCAGTTCTGTGAAGGTCATTGGTAGCTTGATGGGGATAGCATTGAATCTATAAATTACTTTGGGCAATATGGCCATTTTCACAGTATTGTTTCTTCCTAACCATGAGTATGGAATGTTTCTCCATCTGTTGTGTCCTCTCTTATTTCCTTGAGCAGTGGTTTGTAGTTCTCTTTGAAGAGGTCCTTCAAATCCTTTGTTAGTTGTATTCCTAGGTATTTTATTCTCTTTGTAGCAATAGTGAATGGTAGTTCTTGATTTGGCTCTCTTTAAGTCTGTTATTGATGTATAGGAATGCTTGTGATTTTTGCACATTGATTTTGTATCCTGAGACTTTGCTGAACTTGCTTATCAGTTTAAGGATATTTGGGTCTGAGACAATAGGGTCTTCTAAATATGCAGTCATGTCATCTGCAAATAGAGACAATTTGACTTCCTCCTTTCCTAATTGAATATGCTTTTATTTCTTTTTCTTGCCTGATTGCTTTGGCTAGAACTTCCAATCCTATATTGAATAGGAGTGGTGAGAGAGGGCATCTTTATCTAGAGCCAGATTTCAAAGGGAATGCCTCCAGTTTTTGCCCATTCTGTATGATATTGGCTGTGGGTTTGTCATAAATAGCTTTTATTATTTTGAGATACGTTCCATCAATACCTAATTTATTGAGAGTTTTTAGCATAAAGCACTGTTGAATTTTGTCAAAGACCTTCTCTGCATCTATTGAGATAATCATGTGGTTTTTGTCTTTGGTTCTGTTTAAGTGGTGAATTACGTTTATAGAATTGTGTATGTTGAACCAGCCTTGCATCCCCGGGATGAAGCCTACTTGTTGGTGATGGATAAGCTTTTGGATGTGCTGTTGCAATCAGTTTGCCAGTATTTTATTGAGGATTTTTGCATCTGTGTTCATGATGGATATTGGCCTGAAGTTTTCTTTTCTTTTTGAGCCTCTGCCGGGTTTTGGTGTCAGGATGATGTTGGTCTCATAAAATGATTTGGGGAGGATTCCCTCTTTTTGGATTGTTTGGAATAGTTTCAGAAGGAGTGGTATCAGCTTCTCTTTGTATGTCTGGTAGAATTCGGCTGAACCCATCTGGACCTGGGCGTTTTTTGGTTGGTAGGCTATTAATTGCTGCCTCAACTTCAACCCTTGTTATTGGTCTATTCAGGGTTTAGACTTCTTCCTGGTTTAGGCCTGGGAGGGTACATGTGTCCAGGAATTTATCCATTTCTTCCAGATTTACTGGTTTATGTGCATAGAGTTGTTTGTAGTAATCTCTGATAGTAGTTTGCATTTCTGTGGAATCTGTGGTGATATCCCCTTTATCGTTTTTTATTGCATCTATTTGTTTCTTCTCTCTTTTCTTTTTTATTAATCTGGCTAGTTGTCTGTCTATTTTGTTGATCTTTTAAACATCACACAGTGAGGTCTGTTGGGGGGAACTAGGGGAGGAACAGTGGAGTGTGGGGAGTTGGAGAGGGATAACTAACTAGAATAACCAGCTTAGAGAAGAACATAAATGACTTGATGGAGCTGAAAAAAACAGTATAAGAACTTTATGAAGCATACACAAGTTTCAGTAGCCAAATAGATCAAGCAGAAGAAAGGATATCAGAGATTGAAGATCAAATCAATGAAATAAAATGAGAAGGCAAGAAAAGAGAGCAAAGAGTGAAAGAAATGAACAAAGCCTTCAAGAAATATGGGATTACATGAAAAGACCTAATCTACGCCTGATTGGTGTACCAGAAGATGTTGGGGAGGGATAACATGGGGAGAAATGCCAGCTATAGGTGATGGGGAGGAAGGTAGCAAACAACATTGCCATGTATGTACCTATGCAATAATCCTGCATGTTCTTCACATGTACCCCAAAACCTAAAATGCAATACAATATATATTTTTTTTTTAAATGAGATTTTAACATGAGACAATTCACTGTGGAAACATTTAGAAACATATAGGAACATGCTGAAACATATACACTTCCTTTACGGTATTCTTTCAGTACTCCACTACCCAGCCGTAAGGGATTGTATGTAATCTGTTTTTAATATATTTAATTAACTGGCATCCTCAACATAAAAAAAAAGTCTGTCGAACCTCTGGGTCTCTTTAAAGCTTTGGCTAATTTAATTAGCAAATTCACAACTATTTTGGATTCCCTGAGTCTCCTTGGAGCAGCCAGTGTTTTTAAGAAGAGTTTAAATGCTTAATGTTTTCTAAACTCTTTCTAAATGTTTTCCAAATTGAAACAAAACTGAATTCAAAAGACCCAATTTAGGTAGCTACAAAATGAAATTGTTTAAGATATTAAGTGTTTTCGGTGGATGAAATAGTTTTTCCTTAATCCTTGGTTTTCTAATTGGGGCCTATAAGACTTCCCTAGTTATGTGGTTCATAAGCTTAAACTCTTACTGGGTTAATCTTTATGATAAAATGGTGTTCATCATAATATAGTGCTTAACATTTTTTTTTACTTGGAAGAATAATTTACCCATGGTACTTTCCAAATTAAATATATCTTTTTTGGTAGTTAAATGTTCGTCCCAAGCTTTCCATTATTTGTGGGACATTTTTGTATATATGTGTTGATGGATGTAAGTAATCCTCTAAATTAAAAAAATTGATAATAGTCATATTAAATTATGACTACCTATTTTAGGCAAAAGAATTAATTTAAGATAGTTATCATATCTTTAATAGAATTCTCAGCCTCAGATATGATAGAGAAGAGAATAAGCAGAGTTTCTGAGTTTTCTTTTTATGTAATCATTCTTAAATTTCAGATTTAAATATCTGCAATGACTTGGTTAGCATAATGGTTAAACATTCCGCCTGTAACATCAGATACCCTGGACTTCAGACTTGATTTCATACTTAGTATCTATGGATTCTTAGGCAGGATAGCCTCTTTTTTTTTTTTTTTTTTT